AAGGGAGGGGGAGACAAGGATGCAAACGGGAACTGAACTGCAGCTCCCATGTCCTACAACTGAAATGGAAAGAGACAGATTAATTGCCAACAGGCTTAAAGCTAAAAGTTTCCAAAGAGGAAATCAGAAAAAATCTGGCAACCTAAAAAACTTCCTCGCTCACAATTATGATTTTGCAGGATTTTTTTTTTCTCCATTACAACATCGTTTTGCCTGGAAATTCCTGGCCAACATTATCTTGCCTTTCCTTGTCATCTTCCCAGTCCTTGAGATGGGACCGAGGGAGCGAGACAGCACACAGATGCACGTTCCCACAATACTTCTGCGTATGTACACACATTTTGGCTTCCCAAAGCAGTCGGGGCACAGAAACGTGAATGAATGTATAGATTTGAAGGAAGAAAAGGCTGAAACTCCCAAGTTCCCCTTTGCGAAGGGAAAAGGCGTGCTGCTCATCAAACCTTCCTAACAGATGCCTGGATGTTCGAAAGCAGATGAGAAGACACATTTGAGGATTCAAGAGCCAAAGGCGTCTGCTTGTTTGATTTGGCGTGTTAGGCATCAGGTACCGAAATAAAAAAGGGTATGCTTCTAGCAGAGAAAAGGAAAAAAAAAAGAACGAAAGATAGAAAACTTATTAGGATTTGACAAATCTAAAGCTTCACGAGCTGCTTTAAAACCATGTCAAGTCACAGGATCCAGTCTGAAATATTTATCAGAGGAAAATTCTTCATCTGCATTCATTTTTAGATGGAAGACGACTACTTGTTGTGCCCCACAGTATATTGTCCTTAAGGATCGGTGCTTCTTTTCAACCAAGAAGTCAGCACACTGAGAAATCCCATAGGGCAAAAGGCACATCCAGTTCTTAGGGCTGTAAAAGGCGAGTCGCAGCTAACAGGCACAGGTTAGATTTGCTTGGATGAGATGGGTCTTTCTTCTCCTCACTGTTTCCAGGACATATAAGATGGAAAGGAATGCTTATTAATTTTACTGGGATTTAATGGATGAAGTTACAAACTCTCCTGTCCTGTAGGTAAAGCATCTTTTCCCCCAGGGTTTAATGCAGGCACACTGCTCCATAAGCCAGCTTCCTACTGGCTTCACTTTCCCCTATGCAGGGAATCTTTTTTTTTTTTTTTTTTTGTTTAAATACCTGAAAGCAAACCGCCCCGGGATGACGATAAACCACATTTTAAACTAAAAGGTAACTATGCTCAAACCTGCTGCAGAGACAAGACCACGGACAATTAAAAGGGAAACGAGAAGTTTGGCTGCAAGAGGGAAGGCAGAAAGAGAGCAGGTGGAAGAGGAGCGATGGTTACAACTTCCATCTTCAGCTTGGCGGTCAAAATTCGCCGTCCGGCCGGAGGACCCGGACGCGGTTCACGCACTCCCCTGCCGCTGGGGTGGTCACAGGCTTCCCCGCGAGGCAGGAGCCGACCCACCTCACTGCGCCTCTGACTGGGGAGGACTCACCTACCTTACCACCCACGTGAAGACTGAGGAAGCCACCAGAAGCTCATACACCCCTGAGTTAGTCGCGATTTAACCCCAAACCAGGCTGCTGCTTGCCCCTCGTGCGCCACTGGAGGCCGCCTTCCAAAATGGAGGACGCCTCGCCTTCCAAAATGGAGGA